GCATACAATGGCAACGGTCTCACGACTTCCCTTGGAGCATCACCAGCTCCGCCAATCAGCATTAAAACTGTGAGCGCTATATATCTGGTGTAGATTGCGGTGGTTTATTCGTGAAAAAACTGATAAATGTTAGACGATAACCATTGACATATAAATATAGATAATCGAAGATGATGGTGCACAAATCCTGCCCCTTCAAGCTTTTGATGACATTAACCATACAAAGGAGGAATATCATATGATCAAGATTACAGGTGGGCTGTTTACGATTTTTTGGGGGAAGAGATCCTAAGATTTTCTTAGACACGGAGGGCGAAGCGGTTGCGATGTTTGCCGTTTTCATTGGAATTTTCGGTTAAGCACACTCGAACAATAATTTTACCACGGCACTTGATTTACAACTATCAGATATCATCTTTATTGCTGGCGTATAATCTAGTGAGCGCCATCCATTGTGTTAAACATGGATCGTAGCTCATTAGACTGAGCTGACCGTCTCAATGGAACGTAAGTACATAAGTTGAAGTTACCACGCTTACCCTCGCTTCAAGAAGGTAAACTGTTAGAAAACCTATCGGTTAAGCGCCGCAGTCAGTTTACCGCGCTGCAAGCAAGTTAAAGGTAGGTTATTATTTGAATCGGCGGAGGTCGTGTGTAAAAGTGTAGAATTGAAAAAAGGTGAAAGTTGCTAATGAGCAAACAATATAGCGGACGGCAAGTGCTTGAACAATTTTTGGCCTACGGATGGCAATCAGAAAATGAAGCAAGTCGTTACTTGTTTGCGGAATTTACCTTGATTTCTAGAGAAACTTTTAGGTTCACAATTTGTCTTTGAGTCAATTTTCAACATCTGTGGTTTTTTATAGAACATGGTCGCTATTGATGAATGGCTTCCATGTATCAAAAGTGGTGCGACTAAGAGGTCTTGAACCGTAACCCTACCTGCTGACTAGCCAATAGCTTACTAATTGAGCTTCACAAACACTGAAACTGTTCTTTGAAAAATCTCAGGCTATAGTGTCCATAGAAAGATCCGCACCAAGAAAGACAGTTTGACTTATTCCTGTCTCAGCCGAGTTAAGATGAATAGAGATTTGGGATTTTCATACGGGTCATATGTTTGAGTATTCCACAGCCTTCAGCGAAATGATTACGATCTCAAAGCAACAACACCAATTTGACTAATTATTGGAGTTCAAAATCATTCCACCTTTCAGCTCCAACTACCGAGTTTCTAATCGTAAACATCTCATTACCAGTCGACATGAACAATTTGATAACAAGGCTCACAGCATTTGCAGAGAAGGTAGTCTTTTCAATTTCTTCCACTTAAATATTGATCTTTGTTAAGGCTACATACAGCGAGAGGATGGACATTGCATTGCAACTCACCTCCCTCACGCACAGACTGATGTCAAGAATAGATGAAGATTTTTCTCTTTTACGCAATTAAATACGTCTTGTTACGTATTCTTTAGCAGTTTTTTGAATACTAAACGTGTAAAAAAAGTGTTTTTATTCCTACTAAACATACTGGCATCGAGGTGCAAACGTCATTCAGCATAGGCTTACTAAACTCAAGCAAATCTACCAAGGAACCTACCAGGAAACCTGCTGTGATACTTATACGGATAAAAACGACGAGAATAAAAACAGTTGTATATGCTGCAACGTCAAAATCTTTCTTCCCAAGTGGAGACATACCTTCGATAGTCTAGAGACAGAGCGTCAAAAGTGAAGGTTGTTTGAACATCTCACCCAATAAAAAGTGAAGGTTGTTTGAAGAAGATCAGAGAAGGGAAAATGACGTAGAACATCTATAAAAAGCAAAAGAAACTGATGAAAACCGGATAAAAACGCTGCAATAAGGTTTGAAATCTTTCACGGCGACTTTTCAATGTGCAAGTTTTCGCTCCAGGACCAGCAATTCGCAACACGGGGGAAAGCGAAGAAAAGCTAATTTTTTGTGATTGTTTCAAAAAAAAACATGTTTCGGAAAGAGAGGTTATCAAGAAGATTGAACAAGAAAGAAATTAGTTATAAAAACGCAACGCAAGACGCAAAGTTTCTTTTCTACAGAGTCGAAAAAAACGTCGAAGCCAAATTTAATTTCTGATGCGTCCTTCAAATTGTTACCCCCGCGTTGACGTTCCTGTTTCCTGGGACGTTGTCTGGATTGTTGCGCTTATTATTCTGAGCAACAATCGCCCAAGCTGGAAAAAAAAACGCTGCGAAAGCGCTGAAACAGAACAAGCTAAAGAAAAACGCACTTTTTACGATTTTTCGCAAAAAATTCCACCACAATCGAAGAAATGAGGGCTGGGTGGTTGTCTGCATTATGAACAGGAGCAAGAATTGTATTATATAATGTACGAAAAAACCCCGTCAAAAGATAAATCAGGAGAAAAACAAGAGATTTTCGAAAACGAGGTTTTCGAATTTCTCGATCAAATCAAAAAACGTCCCAAGCTTTGAAAATCACTCACGAACCAGATAGAACAGCGTTTCCTTGTACGACTTTCTGCCCAAGATTTAAGCGCAGTTTCTCGTTTTTATTCAACTTCAACACTTTTTTAAACTTCTGAAACTCGATTTTGGCCATAAAGGAGGTTAACTGAGAATGTTATACTGAATTCTGGCAAAAACTTCATAGAAACCTTCTATTCAACGTAAAAAAGGCTATGAAAACACAAATTCTCGGTTTCGCTGAGATAACTAAAAAATATTAATCCCTATATTTGCTTCATTAACATTCGTTCCGGTATAGTCAGGATATTGGCATCCGGGGCGCCCCAGAGACTTCTGTTTTTTTTTTTTCAGGTGAAGGCTGTGTCCCCTCACAGCTCTCAAAGTGAAGGTTACCAGAGTACGTGGGAAAGTCTGAATGAAGTTCTAATATAGGAAGTTAAAGTACTCCCTACCCCCACCTCCCCCACCATTGTTCATGAAATTTAACTTGATTTTTCATTTACATCTCTCCCACTCTTGAGCATTCCAACTAGTAGCCACAATGATCAAAAGAACGGCGGGCGATGGTGGGTAAACAGCACTGCACAGTATCAGGTTCTTTACCAAAAAATACTTCTGCTTTCCGTATGGAAGAAAACGGAAATGATTGTTCGCAGAAACAAGAAAACTAGTTCCACTATTGGCAAAACCGTGCGCTTCCATATATGTAAAGATGCGCACTGCACCTGCTTCTGCTATAGCGTACATTTTCTCTACTTTACACTCTTGCTTTCCCACGACTTAGATATAAAGTATACTGTAAACGACTCGAATTTATCGCGGGAGCCTTCAGCGCAACGGTTCGCGCCGTGTCGCAACAGCAGTGCACCGTTTCGTGCTAAAAGCCCATGTCTGCTTGTCTCTTCAGTGTTTTCGTTGCAAAATGCTGAATGCTTGCGCTCACGAGGCCTTTAGCGATGCGGGAGCTCTGCTTGACGTAAAATGTCTCGCCTAATCGTGGTTGAAACAGACTGTACAAGATGTTGTCGAAGATAAACAGGAAAAATACTAATAAAAACTGGAATTCTTGTTTCGTCAAGGTCATGCAAAGCTCGAAGCTAGTCTCATTGTTATGCGTTTTCTTAATCTTTACCCCGTTTCGTTCCGTTGCTGGTGACGTTGCTTGCGTTGGTGTGCTCTACATAGTGTGCGTAAAACCCCTACGCATAAAAAAAAGGTTGTTGAAAAGAATTTTTTGCATTTATTCAATAATAGTCAGAAACGACGTTTTCTACAATGTAAACAAAATCAAGATCTGTAGAATGCACGCAATATTGCATTAAAAAACAAAATTGAGGGAAATATACAAAAAATTTGCAACATCATATATTATTTTGACTGCCTGGCGATTAAGAACTCTAAAGCGTTGCTAAGGTCGAGAAACCACTCCAAAAAGGATGTAGCCCGTTTCCGTGCGCGGCTCCTTTCGCAAGTTAAGATAATGGTTTTCATTGAATTTATTAGTCTTCCTGAATTTTTTGGAACACTCATTCATGTGAATAACAGTTATGAGAGAAACTTCCTTGCTATTCCCTTGAAAATTCCTACAACATTCTCCCTACTAGCTTGAAAAGGCTATAAAGGCGTATTGCTAGAATTACCAAAATTATGTTAGGCTGTTTCAAAATTTGTCCGAGCACTTTGTTCAAAATCAACTTTTTAGACGGATCAAATTCTGCTGGATAAAGTAATTTATGGCTGTCATAAGTAAAGTCTGCCATGAGAGAAAGACGAATAAGAAAGAGGATGAAATTCCATTCCGCAAGGTTTTTGCAAAGCCTATAATTGACATACTAATGCTCCAGTATAAGGATAGAAGGACATATTTGACTTCCATCTCTAGGTAGCTTATACTTTAGAGATTTTTTACGGCTAAAGAAAACCCAATCTTTGCTCCACAAACTTTGCGATCAAATCAAAAAAGCCATTATTTGCCTCTTCCGCAAGTGCGCTGACTTTTTAATAATTGATTTTTTAACGTCGTGACCGAAAAAGCTAGTTGGTTAGGTGCCTGTTGCTCTCCCTTTCAACACATGCTCTTTTGAATACATCACTTGGCAGGCAAACCTGGACGTCTGGCATCTTAGCAAATATACTTTAAGGCCCTAACTAAGGCACTGTCCAAGCGGCACCCTAGATGGGGCACTCGCGCCTGATTTATTCATTTCCAGCCTAATCCTAGTATTGTATTAAAGAACGACTTGCTTCATGGTCGTATGAATTTATGCGCCGACCTATCAGTTTCACGTGGGCCACGCGAGAACGCATGCAAACACGATGCAAGCCGTCAGTGAATGCGATGCTGGGGTCCAGTTTGAATGCGAACTCGCAGCCGTGATTGGATCATCTGGACTGCCGACTGGACAGCGTCTTAGCAAGGCCTCGAAAGCACTTTCCACGTGTGAGCTTCCCATATGTTCAGATTTGCCTGGTTGCTGTCTTTGAGCAAGCTCAGTATGGATATGAGAATAGTTTTTTTTTGTTTTCCAGATATGCTATTGTTTACCAATCAGATATACTCCTTCATTACAATACTAGCCCTTCAAGTTGATGGAATGGTCATTGTAAGGGACAACTCAAGAAGATGTTCATTGGTTGTAGCAAATTTTCCTTGGTATAACGATTTGCAACACCGCCTCCTTTAGGTGCCCAATCAATTCAACTGCATGCGAGAGTTTACAAAGGTAACAAAGCCTGCAGTCAAATATCTTTCCTTAACTGCGTTTGAACTTCTGTATTGAGCTTTGAGGCCGAAGATGGGTCTACTTTTCGAAGTCCTCCAGTCCTCGCAAGAGGACATGTAAATGAATTTCCGCAAATGTACGAGCAGGTACGAATTTCCACCTTCTTAGCTAAATACCGATTAAAACAGGCCAGTTTCAGCCTCTTGACAACACTTTCTAGAAATGGTTTGTAATCAATTTGCCTAATTTGCGGTAGAAGTGCGCCACAATACTGGAGTAAATAACTAGCAGTCCAAACGTTGGTAACCAACACCAAGACAGAAGCAGACCAAAAACCATAGAACAGAACTTGGATCTTGTCTTCGACAGATTTCAGTAAAGAGCACAAAGCTCTAGTCCATGCAGTTACGCCAGGATTAAAGACTCAAGCGGTTACGGATATCATGCAAATGTTGGCCCAAAAAGAGGACTTATCTGCAAATACGATACATACAACAAGGAGGAGCTCGGAATTCAAAAGGGGTGTACTGAATAAAGCAAACCGCGCACAACCATAATATGAGTGACCATTGATTTATTGGCTTGTAGCGTACATGCAGGAGAGAAGCATAACCGAAAGTAAGCGAACAGTGGCCGTATTCATCAATTATAGGGTAGGATTTACCACAAAATGCGATCCACCCGTACCGATCAGCGAACCTGTGGCCGTATTCATCAATGAACCTTGAGGGTTAAAATAACCCTGGAGGGTTAAGGCGTCAGTTACGCGTGCGCTGTGCAAACTCACATCACAGAATGCCTAAGTACGTACTAAATTCACTTCATACTTCTATTCTTTCACTGTTATAGTAGTATAATCAACTAATAATCTTCTAACACTAGTTTTTATAATATTAGGTTGTTACATAAGTCTTGTTACATTTAACTTCTAACGGCGATAAGTCATACATCTCATAGTCTTTGCAGGACTTCAAGGTACCAATCGATAGAGCAAAGCAAGCTCTACAAGAAGGCTTGCAAAAGTTCGCACCAGCTTCGATCCACCGTAAGTTTGCATCCAAAATCTGAGTCGTACTAAAATTCAAAAAATCGCGAAAAATTCATATCTCTGTTCAAACAAATCCTACGGATCTCCAACTTGCTCACAAAAATTGCACACTATGTCAAACGCTCATAGGTATCGTTGCTGTATTTCTTCCTTATCTGAAATCGAGAATAAGAAATTTTTTTAGTTTCTACAAAAACGAAGCTATGCTGTTTCTATTCATGTAGCTGTATATTACAAGCCCTTCCAAGTGTAAACGTAAATTTTTAGCTCTCCAGAAGCCCTAGTTTTTAGAAATTACCTAATTTAGCATTGAACACCCGAGTGGGAGAAGCTAAATTTGGTGCTCGAAAACTGGGGCTTATGGAAAGCTGAAAATTCAAGGTTATTTTTGTAAAGGCTTGTAGTATACAGCTACATGAATAGAAACAGCATAGCTTCGTTTTTGTAAAAACAAGAAAAAAAACCTTATTCTCGACTTCTAGATAAGGAAAAAATATAGCAACGGTACATATGAGCGTATAATATAGTGTACAATTTTTGTGGCAAGTTGGAGATCCGTAGGATTTGTTTGAACAAAGACATGAATTTTTCGCCATTTTTTGAATTTCAGTACGACTCTTTGGATGCAAACTTACGGTGGATCGGAGCTGGTGCGAACTTTTGCAGACCTTTTTGTAGAACTTGCTTTGCTCTATCGAATGGTGCCTTAGAGTCCTGCAAAGACTATGAGGTGTATGACTTATCGCCGTTAAAAATTAAGTGTAACAAGACTTATGTAACAACCTAATACATCTCTTGCATATTTGTGCAGCATCCAATCTTACGGAGTGAGTTTATTTTCATGTGTGCAATTGTGCCGTGTAAGTTCTACTTTTGCGCAGTTCGAATTATACCCGGCTTGTGCTACTCTTTTAGGGGTCAATGCGTGTTATCACAAAGAGGTTCTTCTGTTTTGGCACTTGTCAGAGTGGAATGCGACCAAAGCTAGAATTTTTGTCTTGCAAAGTCAGAGTTTCATGTACTTCGAGTTTGAACATAGAACGAAGTCGAGACTAAATACTGTAACAACTACCCTAATTTCACCGTACAAGGCGCGGGGATTTTTTTCTTAAGTCCGCCAGCCCAAACACGCCACAACATTTCGCGACCAAAGAACCCTATACCGGGCTCCGTATTGCCTGAGAGAATTGAACGGTTTAAGGTTCGCTTTCCGAAACACATTGAAGCGGTTGAGCGGCTTGTTTGAAAAATCGAAAAAGATGCGCCTTGTAGCGTGGAATTAGGATACTAGTACTAAATACTACAATACTCGTTGATCTTTTCCATAAAACTATTAGATTCGAGTAAATGTTTGTATGAAGTGTTAGGGTAGAGTTAACCTTCCTCTAAGCTAGGGTCAAATTAACCCTGATGAATCACGTAAGTTTTACCCTCCAGGGTTAGTTTAACCCTCAGGGTTCGTTGATGAATACGGGTTAATCTCGGGGATAAGAATTAATCTCAAGGGTGGATTCAACCCGGTTAGGCCTACCCTGTTTTTCATGAATACGGGTTTATCGCTTTCCAGTATTCGTTGATGAATACGGCCACATGAATGGCGTAGCAGTAACGGAAAATTTGAGTGAAAGAACGCGTGTCAAACGATATAATATGCTTTCACATTAGGCCAAGCAAATTGGCGGACCAACTAGTAGGTTAGTAGCGTTTTAGGCCGGCAGAAATGTAAGCTCAAATACTTCCGAAATTTGTAAGCATTCCTGCCCAGAGATAGAACCCTAGAACCTGCAGAAGAAAAGACCTGCAACTAAACGGACTAGAATTTGGTCACAGCGACTTGGCTAATGATTGAGAGATGTCAATTTTCTTTCGCCTTCTTCGAAAGCCCCATAATTATCGGCGCTCAAAGAGACATAAACGCTCACAGAAGATTTGCACATAAGTTAAGTCTGCATATTATGCCCTAAAAATATCAGCTTTAGCACAACTGTCACAAACTTGCCATGCCAGCACCGAAACGATTTTCCGGAAGACCAGAAAATGAAAGAAAAAAGTCTTGACTGATAAGCTGGCAAAATAACACATTTTTTTGTCCTTTATTTGAGGAGTGGGGTCAAAAGCGAAGAGTGCTTTAGGCGATGATTAACTTGACTAGCGGCTCGAGTGTAATGTGAAAAACTTTCTTTTGCTTTGAGGCAGGAGGGTAAACACAACTTGAACAAAACGAAAACAAAAAGCAGGCTGGTCACTTAAGTAAGTACTATCACTATTCGTGTTTGTCACCTTCTTTTCACCAATTGTCATTGTCATGTCTTTGAACATTACTGTAGTAACTCAAGTTTCGATTTTTCTTAAGTCGTAAGTTAGCTTCTCTCAACTCTGATCCGTCGAACGTCCTAAGGAGCCTTCATGTGCGTATATTCGACGTCAGAACCAAGAAGGAAATTCGTTTCTAAGTTTGCAGAGTGACACTGTACAATCGTCGAAGATAGATTTTTATTCTCTTCTGTCAAAGTGGAAGCTTAGAAATCCTTTACTAGTTTACCAAAAAAACAAAGCAAAGTGGTTTATACAGGATAGGAGCTCTCAAAAGCATATGCACATTCTATTAGATATGGCACAAAAAAATCAGAAAGTTCAAATGCAAAAATTCAAACGGACTTATGACAATCTCATATGTTCGTGTTGCTAAGTAGATGTAAACTTATTCGAATTTAGGATTATGCTGACACCAACTACTACGCCGACTATCCACCTGCTGAATATTCAGAGGTAAGATAATCATTTGTGTGAGATGCCCTTAGGCAAATAAATCTCTGCAGATTATTGAAAAAAATGAAGCGAGTGCATGTAGTAAAAGCATAGTGCGCAAACATTTTTCAAACGATTTCTTTCTAGAGCGACAATGGAGCCGAAACTATGGATGCCGTAGATAGCAACCAGCGATTAAAGTTCGACAGGTCAAAACAAGTGAGTTTTTTCTTGGTGAGAGTTACTAAAGATTTATGAGAATTTGTAAATCGACTATCAAGGTGCCTTCCACGGAGCTGTTTTTTGTTAATGTGTCTACCCCTGTGCACTCGAGTGACTTCATCTCTAAACTCCTTGCTTCTGCAAAGAAGGCAAGCAAATTAAAACTACGCAATCACTTAGCATTGAGTAAATTCAGCTTTTTAGTTACCCTTCAACAGGAAGTTGGATGTGGCGCTGAGCCTCACGTCTCTGACGCAAGGGCTAATACATGGCATGCTAGACGATTTGTCAGCGGCAGCATACTAGCTGCAAACTCGCCTCTATAAAACAACAAACTAGTTCTTGAACAAACTCTAAGCTTATCTTGCGATGTGTGCCTAGTTATTGATCAAGACTGAAAATAAATTGATCGCTGAGTAGTTGTGTGTAAAAGTATCGCTGAGTCGTTGTTATCGTTTTTGACTGTTAGATGCTGCGATAGTAGAAATTGACTCCATACATCCAAACTGTAGCGTGGACAAGTATGTTTTTAGAGCTTTCCTTTCGGTACCATTTGATTCGTACAGCGCCGTCAGATAAATTTATCTGGGTGTTCAAAAACATACTTGTCCACGCTACATCGGCGCATCCTACATTTCCCAAACTTTCCATCATCCGTAATATGTACAAGACCGCTGTAGAAGTATGTACGCGCGAGAACAAACGGATTGCATCGCAACAGCTAGCACTCATAATTGCTCGCAGCAATGGCTACGCAACTACGCATCCCCGAAACCGAACATCTAGACGATTTACTAACTGCAGTTTTGTGCGAAACGATAATAATGAGAACAGGATACCTTTCTGTGTGCCATTTGTCTCCGATAGCTTCAGTAAGGCTATAAACCGATGCATAACACGAACATAGCTAGAGTATGTGATAGTACTGATCAACATCCCTAGTAGTAACATCAAAAAGTGGTTGATTAGGAATAGATTGTATGACATGGAGTGTATATAAGAAGATTGTATCGTATGAAAAGAAGGCATCGTTTATCAAATGGAGTGCTTAGATTGTGGCGCAATATATATAGGAGAGACCGGAAGAACTCTAAGTGTTAGAATGAAGGAACACCTGACTGACAAAAGGCGGGGAAACCTATCATCTCCCTGAGGCAAACATAAGATCGAGGCACATGATGGTAACGAATCTGAAGTGAAGTGTACAGTCTTAGCGCAAGAGGCTGAGATATCGGCACGAGAAATGCTAGAGGCGGCGTGATCTACACCGGAAATCCGAATCTGAACAACAAAAATGAACGCGTGACAATAACGAATGATCTCTTGCCTCTTATGTCATTATGCGGCCTAAAACCGCACAGTGTATAAAGTCCTGGCACACTGAGGAACCTCAGTGATGTCCGTCACTTCTGTGCCGACTACTGACTTCACGGTGGACTAGAGGTTAGTGGATCCATTTTGGATTGTTTTTCGGCATGTTGCGCCTCGACGCGGTTCAAACGACAGAAGTCTGATGAGGCGTTTGATCGTGTAGACTAACAGATGATTTGACTGCAGTCCCCTTTCAGACCTCCCAAAAAGACGATATTCGTCGAAATGTAAGGTCAATAAAGGTCCACCATAACAACCTGGTTGGCAGAACAGCACTACACATATACGTGATTTATCCTTATAATATCAAACTACAGTTGAAATAGACAAAAAAGAATACTAAACCAAATGAAACACGGGACGAGGCCCGTCCCACGCCACCGATGCGCGTCTGTAAACAATTTCATAAATACACGTGGCTCGCCAGGGTGCGCGTAACAAATCCACCACGCAACGCCCAGATACGACGGCACGTCCCCTCCAGCTCCTGTAGATGTTTTTCAACTTGACATGCAATTCCGGTTAGTACTACGGCGCAATGCGCTAACAAAAAGAATCCGTTTCCCAATCCAAAGAACATCCGGCTCAACTGCTCTTACAAAAAAAGGACAGGAGCATAAGCGGCTGAAATGATATTCAAACAAGAAATGAAGACAAACAAGGCACCAAAGTGAATCGCCACCGCTTTTTATAGCCGTCTGGCTGGCAACGAGCCAATAAAGGAGAGGTCCGGAGACGATCGGGGCAACACACATCTCGGCTATCGTAATCGTCGCTAGCGCGGTAACCGATACCCCCGGCCTCCGTGCGGAGCGCCTTGCAACGCGAGACGCGACAACACGACACCCTCAAAGCTGCAGTCAAAAAGCCCTCCAAGTTGTGCAAGTCAATGCGATTTCCATATATTGAAGGTGCAGGGAATGTGAAGCGAGAGGCAGCATAAAGAAGCGCTAGGTAACACTCTGTCATTGAGTACAACGTTCATTTCGGATGCGTTGAGTGGCACGACTATAGTGTGTGTGCGTAAGATCTGCAGGAGTTATTGCAAGTTGTAGTCATGCCCAAGTTTGAGACAGGCATGATAGAAAACACCTTTTTCCTTAATGAGCAGAATGCGATAAATTGTATGTGCTCTGGCGTTATATATTCAATAATTAAAGCAAGAGGAACCCGTACACTTACCATGATCAATTACCGGAAAGTTGACGACCTACTAGTATTGGTACTTTTAATCACTATTATTGCTCTTCACCAATATTATCTTATTATTTGTTGATTGTTTTTTAAAACAATGTTTTAAAACTCTTTTTAATGACTTTCAAGAGATTTACCTACTTAAATTTCACTCTGTAAGACGCACCTTTTTTGGTTTTTAAGCGTGCCGCTCCGCTGCCTCGTTGTGTTTCGGAAAACGGACTTATGCTGCACGATACTCTTAGGCAATATGTAGCACCAGCCGCTCTCTGCCGCTACGCGGCAGGTTCGGCTGGTACACGGCAGCTTCGCTTCCGGTAAATCTTTCCTTTTGTTCTTTATTGAAAGTAAAATGCAGAAAATTTGCCATTTTGCACGAACTACTTCGTTTATAACCGTCGCAGAAAGAACAACCATGGGCAACTTCGTCTTTGTCGGTTTATTTCGAATTAACACTAAGCAATGGATATTACGCGAACTGCAAAAAATCAATAAATTGAAAGGGTCGGTCATTATATTTGAACAAAACGGCTCATTAAAACACATCCCACCCATGCGTTATGCCTGGCAAATTTGGTCTTTATTCCATAACTCCTTCTATCGTTTTCAAGCAAAGATAATTTCTAGGCAAAAAGTGCAAAAATCCATAAATCGATAGCAACAAACCGTGTGTATCGAACAAAATGGCTTATTAACAACGGCGCACACCATGCATTACGTCTGCCAAATCTGCCTTAAATCCTATAATCCTTTTTCTATCCATCGTGAAAGAACATCAAAAAGGGGTAAATTCACCTATAAATCTAATCTATATCTCATCGATATCTTTTTGAAAAGTGGTAGTGCTGGCGACAATGAAGGTAACTTACGTGCACCGGGGCAAGCTCTTCTTGGGCCTCTGGTGCTTCCTGGCCATGGTGAAGACGGTTATGTGCAGTTACGGAGCTCCGCATTGTGCCACGTGCTCGAGTTCTCTGCGCAATGTGCATCTGCGGAAGGGGGTGGAGGTAGGTGCCGGTTCAAAAATCACTTGTTGCCGCGAGTCAAGCGCAAAGATCGTTTGTGCTGTGTTCTCGTCGATTGGCACGTGTCGTCGTTGGCCAACCCGTTCTGGGCTCGCACCATGCCTGGATTGATCCAGTGTCTCCTGAAGGCGTCTGTTAAGCTGTGGTTCCTGTTGCCGTCGACGAAGATGACGTTCACGCATTGAGGCAAGACACCGTTCTCGTGCCTCTGTATTTCTCGGCTACGACGAAGACGGCTATGCTGGCTGTAAAAGTGCGCCTTGCAGTACGGCCTCGGATTCGGCGATGTGCACCTGCGACTGAGGTGTGGAGGTGGAGGGTCCATTGCTAGGGGGTCAATGTCGGCGCCATGTTTCGGGTGTAAAAGTTGGATGAGGTACGACCGATGAAGGCATGGTATGAATGAACCGTAAGGCCGGGATAGGGTATTTTGATTTGGTGGTCATATTTGATCTCGCGGATGAACCATTTTGATTTTGTTGATGAGCTATGCAGTCGTACAAAACCCGTTGCGAAAGGTCAATGCATAGTTAAATATCAGCTAGCCTCCAGAATGTGGCATACAAAAATTTACGAAAAAAAGGTTAAAAAAGTTTAGTGGTTAAAGTTGTAGATATTTTATTCGAATTGGCCATGCTTAGCTATCCCTTCCTGCCAGTTTTCAGCTCAACAGAGATTGAAACCCAAAATTCGATAAATCGATAACCTCTGTTTGGTGATAACGCTTAGTGACACCGGCTCCACCCCGAAGTTCATGTGTGCAAAGTTTCGTTTGAATTTAATGAAGTTTTCTAACATTTTAGGCCGGTCATAACGAAATTGCTAAGCAAAAAACGCAAAAAATCGATAAATCGATAACGCCACTTGGCGATTTTCGGTGAAAAAGCTTAGTGACACCCGCCTCACCCCGAAGTTCATGTGTGTAAAGTTTCGTTTGAATTTAATGAAGTTTTCTAACATTTTAGGCCGGTCATAACGAAATTGCTAAGCAAAAAACGCAAAAAATCGATAAATCGATAACGCCACTTGGCGATTTTCGGTGAAAAAGCTTAGTGACACCCGCCTCACCCCGAAGTTCATGTGTGTAAAGTTTCGTTTGAATTTAATGAAGTTTTCTAACATTTTAGGCCGGTCATAACGAAATTGCTAGGCAAAAAGCGCAAAAAATCGATAAATCGATAGCGCCACTTGGCGATTTTCGCTGAAAAAGCTTAGTGACACTCGCCCCACCCAGAATTTCATCTGTGCAAAGTTTGGTCCAAATTCCTTGATTCTTTCTACCATTTCAGGCCGGTCATAAAAAAAGTGCTTATCCAAATATTATATAAGTATTGATTGTCTATCTGAGTCGCTGTTTGATTTAGTAAAAATATTCCCGGCGTCCTATGCGTGAAATTAGGGTAATTTGCCAGGGACGCGAAGGTATGGTAGAAAAGTCATGCGGCAGCGTCATTAGTTACTCTTTATCTCTCCCACATACTACACAAATCATCCTTGGTGAGTCGAAGATTGAAGCCAAAGAAAGAGCTGAAATGCATTTTGTAGCAACTTTACTGCCAAGTAAAAAAACTAACATAGTGCTAAGGTCGACCACGAATTTTCCCATATCGTTATAAGCTGAACTCCCGCGAGCGTGCCTGCAACGCGGCTACAGTAGACGGGCGCTATGTGACTCGCGCGCGAGTGCCAATGTGCTTAGCCCGCAAGAGACACCTCGCGAGCGCTCAGCCTGAGCG